AAAACTAATGAAAATAACTTGAAAACTTTGAGTTTTAACGGTAAGAACAAAATAAAGGGTAAACTGAATTGTACCAGGATTGACTTTTTAGTGTAAAAATGTGGTTTTTCGTTAAGTTAATAGTAACGTAGGTTTTTCGTTAAAACTCCTTTGATTTAAACTAATTAGTTAACGTTGTTTTGCATCATTTTAAAATTTGAAAATAATCATTAAGAAAATTTACATGCAAAATATATATATATGGAATGTATTAAGGGACACGCGTCTTTTTGTGGGTTACAACATTAAGTGACAAATGTGATCACTTTGTGTATGCCACGTGTCACCATCCTGTGAGATGATTAGTTGGGATGGTCAATAACAATTAACTATATTGATGGGATAATGCTAGGGACCAAATTTATACACCACAACACCATATCTACCACGGTTGATTGTCCATGGACATAAGAAGTCCGTTATAAAATGTCCAATTTAATTACGGACGTTTGAAGTCCATGGTAAATAAATTAGTTTAACAATGGGCGTAGAGTGGCCCGTGGCTAAAGGTGTTGAAGCAACAACATGTGTTTAAAGCCCGTTGTGGTTTGGTTATATATTATCACGAGGCATGTTCGTGGTTACAAAAAATTTGACAACAATGCCATTTTAAATCTACCACAGACTAAAAGTATTGTTGTTATAATTATAATTTTTTACTTTTTTAATCAACCAGTATAATAATACACACTCAAATTTCAGATCTCAATGAAACCTATTTACCGTTTTCATATCAGACGCCGCCAACCACTAGGTCTCACCCCCTATTCTTATGTCGACGATTACTTCGACCCAAAACTACTCATTTTTTTGTCTTGTTCGCAAACACTATTTGAACCCTATTTTTTTTTTCTATTTTTTTGGGCATGTCAGGTATTCCCAATCTATAGGATCTTCATCTTCGTCTCCAACTAGAGAGCACGAGATCTTGCTGGTGTATATCTCGGTGGATTTCAGAGGCGGTGGCGGCTTTGGCACAATTGCCGTTGTCAGTAGAAATAGGAATCGATCTTTGAGATCGATTAAATTCTGGGCGGTGAATCTCCACCATTGATGAAATTGTGATTCTTTCTTTCTATGTTATAACTTCTTCAGGTGTGTGCTCTGTATATTTATCTAATTTCGATTTCTCAAATCACTATTGTTTATTAGATTTTGCTTCGTTCTGATTCCAATTGAGTTCGATTTCGAACTTGAATTTAAATTCGATTTTGATTTACATATGTCCTCATTTTCCTGAAGTTGTTGCTTCTTCCATTTTGAATTCAAGTTCTCCATTTTGGTGATTTTGATTTCAAGTTTTAAAATCGAAAGATTAGGGATCGAGGATTGGGCTAGGGTTTCAAAACCAGAGAGATGGAGTTGGATTTATGGCTTTCTCTATGACAATGTGTGTTTTGGGGTTTCGAAAGGTGAGCATTCACTAGTACAAAAACATGTTTGCACGACGCCAACTTGCGTGACGCAGCAAATTTGGTCGCGCAAAGCATGTTTGCACGATGCTAAACAGAAAATGTCGCACAAATGGCCTTTACAGAACGACACTTTGCACAACAAAGACTGGCGTTGCGCAAAATAGCTTTGTGTGACGAAGGTGCACCTACGTCACTCAAAACAACTTTGCGTGACGCCAGTCTTCATCGTGCAAAGTGTGGTTGCGCAATGGCCATTTGTGTGACGTTTCTTGCATCACGCAAGATGTTGGCGCCAAACCAAGATGTTTTACCGCTTTGTTCCCAACTTTGCGCGACGCAGGTGTACCTACGTTGCGCAAAGTTTTTTTAGTTTTTATTTTTTTCCCTTTTGCTTTTCTTTTAGGGTTATTGCATTGCCTTTTTCTATTGTAGTATCCAATAGTGTAAATATTTTAAATTGACGATCAAATTAGTTCATTGTATTCATATATGATCAAGGAGTGTAGCTGTAAAAAATCATCAAAATTGGAGTTAAAATTATCGTTAAATCGTAATTTTTCATTTATAACCGTAAAAAAGGTTTATCCCATTACATAATCCCTGAAAGTTTATTTTTTGCGATTTTTGGCGTATGCAATCTCGAAGCATATACAAACAAGTTTGGCGGTTGGATCGGTGAAATTAGTTTCATAAAATGCATATCGCATCAAAATAATAGATTCACTAACACTTGGAGTTTATCTATACTTTCATTAAGTATAACATAAGATTTTGTGGTATTCAATAGTGTAAATATTTTAAATTGACGATCGAATTAGTTCATTGTATTCATATAGGATCAAGGAGTGTAGATGTAAAAAATAATCAAAATCGGAGTTAAAACTAGTATTAAATCGTGATTTTTCGTTTATAACCGTTGAAAAGTTTTGTCCCGTTACTTGATCTCTGAATGTTTGTTTGTTACGATTTTTGGCGTATGCAATCTCAAATTATGTACAAACAAGTTTGACGGTTGGATCGTCTAAACTAGCTTCGTACAATGCGTATTCCATCAAAACTATAGATTCACTAACACTTGGAGTTTATTTATACTTTCATTAAGTATAACATAAGATTTTGTGGTAACCACTTGTGTAAATGTTTTAAATCGATGATCAAATTAGTTCATAAACAAAAGGGAAAAAAAAAAAAAAACTTTGCGCAACGTAGGTCTTAGTTGCGAAAAGTTGTTTTGAGCGATGCATATGCACTACGTCACGCAAAGTTTTTTTTTTTTTTTTTTTTTTGCCCTTTTGCTTTTCTTTTGTGGTTCTTGCATTGTCTTTTTCTATTGTGGTATCCACTTGAGTAAATGTTTTAAATTGACGATCGAATTAGTTCATTGTATTTATATAGGGTTAAGGAGTGTAACTGTAAAAAATCATCAAAATCGGATTTAAAATTACCTTTAATCGTGATTTTTCATTTATAATCGTCGAAAAGGTTTGTCCCGTTACATAATCTCTGAATGTTTGTTTTTTGCGATTTTTGGCGTATGCAAGCATATACAAACAAATTTGACGGTTGGATCATTGAAACTAGTTTTGTACAATGCGTATCGCATTAAAACAATAGATTCACTAACACTTGGAGTTTATCTATACTTTCATTAAGTTTAACATAAGATTTTGTGGTATCCACTTGTGTAAATGTTTTAAATTGATGATCGAATTAGTTCATAAGCAAAAGGAAAAAAAAAAAAAAAAAACTTTGCGCGACGTAGGTCTTCGTCGCGCAAATTTTTTTTTTTTTTTTTTTTGCCCTTTTGCTTTTCTTTTGTGGTTCTTGCATTGCCTTTTTCTATTGTGATATCCACTTGTGTAAATGTTTAAATTGACGATTGAATTAGTTCATTGTATTCATATAGGGTTAAGGAGTGCTATAAAAAATCATCAAAATCGGAGTTAAAATAACCGTAAAATCGTGATTTTTCGTTTATCACCATCGAAAAGGTTTGTCCCGTTACTTGATATCTGAATATTTGTTTTTTTACGATTTTTGGCGTATGTGATCTCGAAGTATATACAAACAAGTTTGGCAGTTGGATCGTTGAAACTAGTTTCGTACAATGCGTATCCCATCAAAACAATAGATTCACTAATGCTTAGATTTTATGTATACTTTCATTAAGTATAACATAAGATTTTTTACGTGATATCTACTTGTGTAAATATTTTAAATTGACGATCAAATTAGTTCATTGTATTCATATAAGGTTAAGGAGTGTAGCTGTAAAAATCATTTTTCATTTATAACTGTCGAAAAGGTTTGTCCCCTTACTTGATATCTGAATGTTTGTTTTTTGCGATTTTTGGTGTATGCGATCTCGAAGTATGTACAAACAAGTTTGACAGTTGGATTGTTGAAACTAGTTTTGTACAATGTGTATCGCATTAAAACAATAGATTCACTAACACTTGGAGTTTATCTATACTTTCATTAAGTATAACATAAGATTTTGTGGTATCCAATAATGTAAATATTTTAAATTAACAATCGAATTAGTTCATTGAATTCATATAGGATCAAGGAGTAGCTGTAAAAAAATCATCAAATTCGGAGTTAAAATTACCGTTAAATCGTAATTTTTTATTTATAACCGTAAAAAAGGTTTGTCAAAAAAGCATTAATTGGACGACACATAACATAGTAATTGAAAATTTGAAAAAAAAAGGTTACTTGATCAAGGAAGAGTATTTAATTTGACTTCTTAATAATTTACCTGAAAAAATTTAAAACTCAAATTCCTGGCTAGCCTTAAGTATCTTCCAAATTATATAGGTTTGATCATCGCCTTTTGCTCCACCCAGATCATGAATCACCGGAATGTTGTTGCACCAAGGTTATTTTGGGTTGACACGAATAATTCTATACTTGCACAAACATTTGCCTTTTGACAATAAACATTAAATGAGTGTCCTGAATCTCGTTATTTGCCTATGGCAGACGCCGGGAAGTTAAAATGGTTGTGATGATGGATCCACTGGACTTCGGTGGGGTGCAGATGAGAGGTCGGCAAAGCATTACATGTTTTATGATCGTTCAAGAAGCCACATTGGAAGATAGATAGGATTGAAGAGGTCTCAGGTTCCTATTCCTAATCCGGATGAGTCTAAAGCTTGCGCTATACTTGTTTTCTCGTCTCATGTGTAAAGATGGATAGCTGTATTTTCATAATTCAGATGAGTGTAAAGATAGATAGGTGTATTTGTCTCATGTGGTGGTTTTTTACCGGGGCTCACTGCAGCAGTGTATCAAGTGTAACTTGACATTTGCACGATATGATTGTAAACACTTGTATGTTTGTTTTTGTTTATTTCTTTGTTTTGCCCCATGATTGTGTTCGGGCAGCACACTTTTTGGCGATGCTTTTGTTCTGAATGCTTATGTTGACTTTCAAATGGAGTATTTTAAACTGTTAATTCGATCATTTCATGGTGTTTGAATAAAACGTCTTAGTTCTACCAAAAAAAAAAATTCTCATATAGTCTTGACACTCATACTGCATAAATAAGAAATAAGATAGTTCTATTTTTTTTTATTCAAGAAGAAACACAGATAAAAGAAAGGTATAATGAAAATAAATGTGAAAAATTAAACTAGGTTTTTACCCTCTACTTATTCGTCTATTTTCTATCACATTTGATGTATCTTATTAGGTTGGGATTTCTGTAGATATTATTAATCAACTAAATGATTTATGATCTGTAGCCACGCCGAGTTGTGATCTAGCCACGGCATTATGAGGGTAAGCATCATGTGGAAAAGGCGGAGTAGTTGTGTGGCCTGCAAAGTTCCTTTGGTTGATCGTTGTACCGTCAAGATCATTCAACATAGCAGGGACCTTCGGATTAGATCCACCGCGAGGAGGATGGTCGGCCCTCTGCTTCGACTTCATCAGCATGATGTCTTTGCTCATCGTCGTCATCATCCTTGCTGAGTTTCCGTTCACATCATACAACCCTGCCTGCACTAGCCTCTTGCAAGTTCATGCTCATGAGAAATACAACTGTTATGACTGTGAATATAACATTAAAAAACCAAATGGTGATCTATTGATCTTATACTTATAGATATTAAACAAAGATATCTAGCTTAAAAATATGAAGGATGTGTTATGTGGAGGGTTAGATATATGGGTATTTATAGGCACCAGTGTGCTCTTTTTCTATTGTGGGAAGCATTAAAATTTGAATGGGTCAGGACTCGGAACAGAAGAAATGAGTCTTGCAAATAATTTTTCATTATATTATTGGCATGCATTTTGGGGCACAAAGAAATCAAAATCTGACCCACAATATATGCTTCTTTGCACTTACTATGGACCTTGTAATACCTTCACTTCGACACCTACAACAAAGATATCTCCTTACGTTTACAGGTCATGTGATGAGTGTTGTAGAGATATATCTTTTTCTTTAGCCGCACTAGCCGTACATTCAGATTTCTGCTGATTCAGCTGCCTTAAAAAGGGTTGTAACATGCAACTCTCCATTCAATACAACAAATCCAAATGCTGAGTCGCATGAGACCTGTTTTGGTATACGTGACTCCTTACGCCAACGGTTTGAAGCCATGTCATATCTGCAATGCAGTAGACAGCAACACTTCAACTATTATGTGGAAGAAACATAAGCAAAAACTAAAATTATCATTCAAAGATCAAATGAATAACAACGAGGAAGAACTTCAAAGGACATAAACTAGGGGCAGATGCATACGTCCAAAAAGACATCAATAAGCATACATAAAAGTGAACATAAAAGAATGTGATCCCATAAGAGAATTACTTGTACTAAACTACTAATAGTCTCATAAAACCATGCATTTCTCAACATTTGTAATATAGATTTTGCGCTTGTGTGAACCACAATCAATCAATTAGAAAAAGTAAACTAAAACATCGCTGCGTTGTGTCTCGGTAGAACCTGTGCCATTTAAGTCATAAATTTAAATTGCCATGACCATCCAAATGAAGTCATCACGTATCCCTCAAATTGTTAAACTTTGAAACTTTTCTGTAACCAGAATAATAAGTTTTTTGTAGTTCAATATAAATGAACACATGAAGATTTCAAGCTCTGTCTTCTGCATTCACCTTGTGGTGAAAAATAGAGAGATAGTGTTCATCCTGAAAAAGTAAAAACACAAACGAAGTCATGGCAAATCAGAATGAGTTCAAGAGCGTACCCTCTCTTTGTTGTTTCTTTCCGGAAAAATCCAGAGTATTAAAGTGGAGTCGTATATCACATACGGCCAAGCCACCTAAAGATTTCCAGCTAGCCACAATGCCTCGGATATTCTTACAAAAAAATCATTAAGAGCTAGTATTAGCGGATTAGGTTTCATAATCAAATAAAATCTTGATACTTTCAGTCAGATTTCTCTCTCTGCGACTCTCTCACACACACACTTACACATACAACATATATTTTTCCCATGGTGCAAGAAAACAATGGCCATACTCAATCCAAATTCTTATACCCTGATTTCACAACATTTATAACAAACTTCTTCAGGAAAGTCCCTGGGTGGGTACTTGCTCTGGACTAGGCCATCGTAGCAACTCTGCATGATGATTTCCCTCCCTCTCCGAGACTCCGAGTTACCGAAAAGCTTACACTCCTCATTCGCATGGTCTAGTAACACAAGCATTAACCCTATATCCCCAATTACGGAAATCCAAGAAGACAAGTTTTTGGCACACCTCTCGGTCAAAATTCTGTTAATCAATAAAAATAAATTCCATAACCAGTGAGGTCTCAGAAAATGTAATAAGCATCTATACACCCAGAATATGAGGCAGCACAAAGTACTCCCTATCTAGATCACACATTTAGTTCATTCGAAACCCAACTCTTACCAACTAAACTGAACTTAATTGACATCCAATTCAAACAGATCCAATAATGATACCAACAATGCAGAACAACAACACTTCAACTTGAAGCTTTGTATAGATATTTAATGCGGACAGTAACATTAGATTAGCATGAACAATCTCAATCTAATTGGAACCAATTGTCACTAGCGGAACAGAACAAACAATGTTACTTCAAGCCCGAGCTTAAACAAACAAAAAAAAAAAAAAAAAAAAAAGCCACACAAACACAAACACAAACTAAAGATAAGAGAAAAACTACCTGAATATAACATTCAGGTCAAGCATGAATGGTTAGCCTAGGGAGAATATAATACAGTGTTCATCAAACCAGCTGAACCACCAAAACCGGCCTATTCAAACTGTAATTGGTTGATCATATTGAAAATTAATTAAGAAGTCCACTGATTGGCTCCAACATGTTCAGAAGCCAGTCCTCACTGGGAGATTGATCAAGTTTTTGGAGTTTATCTTCACCTTTAACAGAAAAGGAAAGTGACATCTAAAAGAGTAAGCGTTAAACGGTGCACAGTTTTCCTTTTTGCGCTTCGCTTTACCTTTAGGTATTTTACATCTTACCCTTTTTCTTTTTCTCCCTTTCTCTGTAGGACTTTTTGGTCGAGCCATTCTCTGTAGGATTAAGCTGTCCTATTATGGTTTGGAAGGCAATTTAAATTTAATTTTTTCTCAAAAACACCCACCTTTAATTTTCCTGAGTTTTTGGCTTTAGCCGGCTTCCATTTGCCTTGTATTTGTTTGGTGTGAAATGGTGTACACTTTAGTCGATTTTTATTATCAATTTGTCTGAAGTAGGTTCAACAACCCCAACAACTAAAGGAAGCAGATTAATGCGACTACAAAATGTGCCATGCTTGCCAGCACCGAAAAAGTACCGACCTCCCAATAATGAAGTTGATCTTAAGAGAGCTCCAAAGCGTGACTTTAATAAAAGATTCAATGAAGGAGCAAATTGAGTTAAAGAAGTAATATTAGGGCTACCAAGAGAAGGATGGAGTTTCAAGTTGAGATTATTTAGAACATAGGAGTTTGATTCGTTTTATCCTACTTACGATTTTTTTTTTGTTTTTGTTTTTGTTATTTTTTTTTGTTATGGGTACGTGTGTAAGAGGAACTGATAACAGTTTTGAATAACGATTTTACTTGCTGTTTTATGTGATGGGTTTGAAAAATCTATAGATCCAAGAGAAACTCTTGAGTTGATTAAAATTACTTTTGCAAATATATGTTGGAATTCAATTAGTTGTCGTGGTACCGTGCCATGGTACTGCCCGGCGGCTCCTTCTTACCGATATCTAATTGGCTATTGAGACCAATTTGGTAAGCGTTCTTCTGCATGCAGACAACTCAAAGAAGTCCTTGAACAATGGTAACTTGATGATCAAAGGAAGAATTCAAAGTCTAAATAACTTAATGATTAATTAATGTCAATCATAACTCGCAATGGTTGAACACAAATACTAGTACATAGGTAGTACTTCCAATAAAAAGTACTAAATTTTACAATATTTATTAACCCACCCAAATAAATTTGAGACCATTGCCATCCAAATAAATTTGTGTTTTCCCCAGTCACAGCTTCATAATTAACTAAGCATGGAGCTTAAAGGGTTCTAGTACAACTTCAGTTTTGCCCTGCTTCGTAAAATAGTTCATAATGAATTCTTTGTATTGAAAGGGTCTAAAGAGTTGTGGATTGCTTGCATTAATAAGATCTCCAGCAGGTTCTACAATGCAGTCGTCTGAAGGTGCGATGAAAAATGCAGCAGATGTCCGGGCATTACTTGAACTCGTCACTGCCCGATGTTCAGCACTTTTCAGCTTCCCATTACTGATTATCTACATCCCATACCATAAAAAAAAAATAAAAATAAAAAAATAAAAATAGTTTGTCATATGGTAATTAAGAGAAGGTTGATGAACATATTTATGGAACGACTATCAGGCCCCTATTTCGACATGATATTGACTGCGCTATGTAATCAAGTATAGATAGTAATACAAAATCAATAATACCAGCAAAATAATCTTCGGCGTAAAGAAGGGTACTGAATCTACTGATGTACCTGTAACTGATAGCCTATGTTAATCACAAGTGCATCAGAAAGAGGCTTCACGCCAATCCATTCCCCGTCTATGAAAACTTGAAGTCCATTTACGTGTTCTTCTTGAAGTAAAATGGTTATGAGGTTTGGATCACAGTGCTTAGATACACCTAATGTCAAACTTGGGTCTGAGCAAGGCGGGTAATGATTAACAGAGAGTAACATATTTTTCAAAAGTTCATCTCTAAAATACCCAGTTCCAAGCCCAAGTCCTTCACTGATTAGCTCCAAAATGTTCAGAGCCAGTTTCCTTATTTGTGAGGAACATGTCCCAACAAGCTCTCTGAAATACATAACATCACTAATTAATCCTTGAAGATACAGAAGCATATCATACATATATATGCAACAAAAACAAAGGGGGATTTCAAAACATGAATCTATAAGCTCTTTTATGTAGGTAGCACGTCTGCTCATAAAGATGTAGCAATTTTTATTTAAAATCATTGAAAGTGCTTCCTGGGGCTTATGTAAAAAGAGCTCTTAAGTTTTGGAGAATGATTTCCACACACCTCTTTTCTCTCTTTACATGCCCTTGATTATGAATGTCGAATTGAATAAATCAAGGAGAGTTAATAGACATAAATGTAAATGGATGTGTAAGAGGAGAAAAGAGGCATGTGAGAAATCATTTCCCTAATTTCTAACACGTGTCAGAAGCACTTTTGGCTGTCAAAAATCACTTTTAGCTAATACAAGCTCTATGTATCTTAATTTGGTAGATTAATCTTTCTTACCGATATGTACTTGGCTGTTGAGGCCAATGCTGCATGCTCTCCTCTAAAGGAAGACAAGGGTGTCGTAGGTTATCACGCCAAAGATGAACATCTTCCCAATCATAATTTCCACTGCTGGTAAAGAGTCTACATATTTTTTTTGGGTCCTCAGAGTAGACAGCTGCCTTGTCCTCTGCAGGCAACTCAAAGAACTCCTTGAACACACCCATTGTGTCCTTCAACAAACTTTCTGATATTCCATGGTTGATAACCTGCTTTATAAATAGCATTAGTTGATGATCAAGGAAGAGTATTTAGTTTGAAGTCCCAATAAGTTACCTGGAAAAACCCAAATTCGTGGCTAGCCTTGAGTATTTGCTGAATTATACAGGTTTGATCACCGCCCAGATCAATCACTGGAATGTTGTCGCAAGAAGGAGCGGTAGTAAGCTTCCCGGGTCTTGCGTCTGGTGGGAATATGTAATTCTCGGGCAAGGTTCGATTGTTGTACCAGTTAGAAACAAGCTTCTCCATTTCTCAAATCGTATCTAGCCTCACAATTAAAGGTAAAACTAGTGCACATATAAAGTGGACTTTGTTCTATCAGAGTTGGAATAAAGATAGTGCCGGCCATCCCATCTACTCCAATATTTTGTTGTATCATTTGGAATAAAGATAGTGCCGGCCGGCCATCCCATCTACTCCAATATTTTGTTGTATCATTTGGAATAAAGATAGTGCCGGCCTTGGCAGTTGGCATGGTTAACTACGGGACAAAAGTGATAAAATATAGAAATTGTTGGATTGACCTGCTTCGTGTAGGGGTTTTCTCTTCAAGTCATTGTCACTCCAAAATCTGGTGTACTTCATAATTTTTATATTTAGGAGAAAAATACTCTTATGAGAGTGCACAATTAGATTTTTGAAGTGTAAATAATAACTTATAAAGTAAAATAAGTCACTATTATTCCTATGTAGGGACTCTATTTAATTTGTGCTATAAGAAATAACGCATGATGACTCATTAATTAATCTCATGTTATGAGTTTAATGAAGAGTTAATAACACTAAGACCCCTTCAAGTTTATCGTGTTTTCACAAAATCCCTCAAGTTTGAAAAATAACACTAACATTCCCTTAAGGTTTTAATTCACTTTCACTTCATCCTTTAAAAGACGATTCTATGCTTGAAAAAAAAAAATAAAGAAACCCCATATATAGTTTAGGCTTATTTTTAGCTACGTCTCTGGAACTACATTCTGATCTCATTTTGACCCGTATAACTCAAAAGTCACCGCTTTACTCCTTGAAACTCAAAATTCGTTTCACTTTGACTTATGGACTCTCTCTTCTCCCTAAGACTTTATAAGTCATCTCCTGAAACATAAGTGATCTCAACACTTAATAAGACTATGCCACGTGTACAATAAATTTGATTATAAATCTTCATTATGTGTTAATATTCAACAATCAAATAAAATTAAGTTTGAAAGAAATTATAAAATTTTCCCAATAATTATATTATTTAAATAAATAATTAATAATATATTTTTTATTTAATAATATATTTAATTTATTAAAATAACAAATTTATAACCATACTATAATTAATTATAAAGAAGTTTTAACGAAACACTTCCGGTACTATTCACTTTAACAAAAAAAATGACAATTTTACTCCAAAAAGTCACTCTTGGGACTATTCACTTACAACACATTTTTGTCCTATTGATTAAAACTTAAAATTTTCAAGTCATTTTTATTAGTTTTCCTTAATTAATAATGTTATAATTTATGTCTTAGTATCCTTTTTTTTTTTCAGGTTCTTCTCTCCCTTTCTTTATAGGATGAAGCAGCACTATTCATGTTATGGTTTGAAAAGCTTTAATTTTACATTTTTCTTACCCTATCTAAGAGTTCCTTTTGTCGTATTTTCCCCTCTTACCGTTTTCCGACTTACCCTTTGTGTTTAGGTTCTGTCCCTTTCTTTCTAGGATTAAGTACTATATTCCTATTATTCACAAAGCTTTAAGTTTTCCCTAGCCTATTCAGGACTTCCCTTTGTTTACAAGAAAGTAAACAAGCCTACAACAAACTAGTATAAATATGGGGTCTTAGTATTCTGAACACACACCCACCTATAGATTTCCTCGAGTATTTGGCTTTAGACATCTTCAATTGACGTTCTGTTTGTTGCATAATAGTGCAAGCTTTAGTCGATTTTAGTGATCAAGATGTTTGAAGCAGGTTCAACAACTCTAACAGCCAAAGGAAGTAGATTAATGAGACTGTAAGATGTGTCATGCCCACCGGCATAGAAAAAGTACCAACCTCCTAATAATGGAGTTACTCCTAAGAAAACCCCTAAACGTGATTTGAATAAAAGCTTCAAAGAAGGAGCAAATTGAGTTAAGAAGTAATATTAGGCTACAAAGAGAAGGATGTGGAGTTCGAGTTAAAGTTAATTAGGATTTAAGAGTTCAAGTTGTTGTGTTTTCTTGGTTTGCTTATCCTATTATTAATTATGCTACTTTTTTATGATTACAATTTTTAATCTGTTATGTTAGTTTCAGGGAGCTAATAGTTATGAATAAAATTTTTACTTATAATGGGTTTCATATATCTATACATGAACTGATTTAATGAAGCTTAATGTTTTTGCATAATGTTGTGTGAATTCAGTTGGTGGTGGTACCATGGAATGGAGCTGCTGGTGAAGAGCCTGCAACTTTAATTTGATAATTTGTTCGGTTCCTCAGATTCATGCTAGCAGTTTTCTCTGCAGGCGTGCATCTTAGAAAACCCTTGACTAAAATTATGGTGCCACTGTTCAAACTTTCCAATACAAAGTACTGCACTTTACAATATTTATGAACCCACACCCAAATAAATTTGAACCAGAAAGCAAAAAGAAAGACAGTTATATTGCAATATAAGACAATACTCAACTGAAGTTTTTGCATGATGATCAACCAAGCTTGGAGCTTAAAGGGTTCTAGTACAACTTCGGTATTACCCTGCTCCATAGCATAATTGGTACGAACTCTTTGTAATTAATGGCTTTATAGAAGTTCATCCCGGAAATACCCAGTTTCGAGTCCAAGTCCTCCACTGATTAGCTCCAAAACGTTCAGAGCCACATCAGTATCTTTGAAATACATATCATATCAATCATTAGTATTTGTAGATACAGAAAAATATGTTACATATATGCAACAAAAAAATGGAGTTTTCAGAACATGAATCTGTATTTCTTTGGTACCTATATATCTACTAGGCTTTTGAGGCCTGCTGCATGTATTCTGCTAGAGGATGGCAAGGGTAGCGTAGGTAACCGCGCCAAAGATGAACATCTTCCCAATCAAAATACCCACAGCTGGTCGTCAGAGTAGAGGTTTGCCTTGTCCTCTACGGGCAACTCAAAGAACTACTTGAACACACCACTAGTACAAAAATATACTTGCGTGAAAGAGCAAATTACATTGCTCAAAAACGTTTTGTGCAACGTTGACAAAGACGCGTCACACAATGATATTTTGCGCAGCGAAGCTTTCCGTTGCGCAAAACTGTTTAGCGCAACGAAGGTGTACTTTCGTTGCGCAATATTTAGGAAAAAGCAGTAAGAGTCTTGGTTTGGCGCCAGAAAATTACGCGACGGACAATCTGCATTGCACAAATAGTCTTTGCGCAACGATGAACCCATCTCAACCTGCTTTGTAAATAACATTAATTGGATGACACTAACATAGTAATTGAAAATCTGAAGCTGAGGTTACTTGATAATCAAGAAAGAGTATTTAATTACCTGGGAAAAAAATATAAATAAATAATAATTTAAAAAAAAAAAAAAAACCAAATTCCTGGCTAGCCTTGAGTATTTTCTGAATTATATTGGTTTGATCACCGCCTTCTGCTCACCCAGATAAATCACCGGAATGTTGTTGCACCAGGGTTATTTTGGGTTGTTACTAACAATTCTGTACTTGCACAAACATTTGCCTTTTCCAATAAGCATTAAATGAGTGTTATGAATCTTGTTATTTGCCTATGGCGGACGCAAGGAAGTTAAATGCTTGTGATGGTGGACTCCATTGGATTTCAGGGGGATCGATGCAAATGGGAGGTCGACAAAGCATTACATGTTTTATGAGCGTTCAAGAAGCTACACTGGAAGATAGAGAGGATTGAAGAGGTCTCAGGTTCCTTTTCCAAATCAGGATGAGTATAAAGCTTGCGCTATACTAGTTTTCTCGTTTCTAGGTGTATTTGTTTCATGTGGTAATTTTTTACCGAGGTCCACTGCATCAGTGTACCAAGTGTAACTTGACATTTCCACGATATGATTGTAAACACTTGCATGTGTGTTTTTGTTTATTTCTTTGTTTTGCCCCATGCTAGTGTTCGGGTATAGCATCTTTTGACACCGCTTTTGTTCCTAATGCTTATGTTGACTTTCGAATAGAGTATTTTGAACTGTTAATTAGAGGATCTCATGGTGTTTGAATAAAACGTCTTATTCCAACCAAAAACAAAATTTCTTATATAGTCTCGACCCTCATAGTGCATAAAGAAGAAACAAGATAGTTGTATGAGAATCCGTCTATTTTCTTATTCAAGTAGAGTGTGTAATAAGCAATACAAAGACAACAGAAAACACGGATAAAGGAAAGGTAAGGCCAAAATGAAAACAAATGTGAAAAATTAAACTAGGGTTTTTCCCCTCTACTTATTCGTCTATTTTCCAATCACATTTGATGTATCTTATTAGGTTGGGATTTCTGTACATATTTTTAATCGACTAAATGATTTATGATCTGTAGCCACGCCGAGTAGTGATCTAGCCATGGCATTATAAGGGTATGCATCATGTGGAGAAGGCGGGGTTGTAGTGTGGCCTGCAAAGTTCCTTTGGTTGATCGTTGAACCGTCAAGATCAGTAGACCAAGCAGGTTTCGTTTCACTAGGTCCATTGGGAGGAGGATGGTCGACAACCCTCGTCTTCGACTCCATCAACACGATGTCTTTGCCCATCGTCGTCATCATCCTCATCAAGTTTTCTTTCTCATCATGCAACACCCTGCCTGCGCTAGCTAGCCTCATGCGAGTTCATGCTCATGAGAAATACAACTGTTGTAACTGTGAATAAAACATTAAGAAACCTCATGGTGATCTTATATTTGTAGATATTAAACAAACAGTGGGGGGGAAATGAGAGAGTCTGTTTGGGTCCTTGGTATTAAAGTATGTATGGAGTAAATACTCGATCAATCTACAAACCAAGAAACCGCATGTAACACGAAAAAGATTGATTAGCGCACAAGCAACAAACCTATATAACACGTCTTGGTATACATATATAAATATATCTGTTCTCTGAAAAAAAAATACAAATATATGAAACCCAAATGTATTCCACCTTAACTAATGACCACTTCACTAACAGTTAATTTATTTATCTCGGTCTGCTGTACATTCAAGACTATACAAATATACTAGCAGCAATGACCCCAGAGAACCAATATAGACGGCGCTGCACATCAATCGGTACAATTATCAACACAAGTACAAGCAATAAGAATCGAGATTCACAGGCGAATGGTGCTCATAACTGCAGTATTGAAATCCAAGCCGTAATGGAAAGGTGACTTTGTTATGAGAGATCTCCATGTCTTCTTCTTTGGATGGTAGATTTGGATGTAAAGTGTTCCTGCTCTCTGACGCAGTCGTGACCTCCGGATTTCTGCTGGTTCAACTGCCTTCAAAAGGGTTATTACATGCAACTCTCCATCCAATACAACGAATCCAAATTCTGAGTTGCATGGGACCTGTCTTGGTAGACGTGACTCCTCACACCAACGGTTTGAAGCCATGTCGTATCTGCAGTGCAGTAGACAGGAACACTTTTAACCATTATGTGGAAGCAACATAAGCAAAAACTTCAATAAAATTATCACTCAAAGATCAAATATTATGTGGAAGCAACAGAATTACTTGTACTAAACCACTGATAGTCCCAGAAAACCGTGCATCTCTCAACATTTTTAATATGTTACTTAAGAATGACAAAAAAAGAATTTCGCTTGTGTAAACCACAATCAATCAAATAGAAAAGTAAACTAAAACATTGCAGCATTATGTCCCGGTAGAACCTGTGCCATTTAAGTCATAAATTTAAATTGCCACAACCATCCAAATTAAGTCACATAATAAGTGTTTCGTAGTTCAATATAAATGAACACATAAAGATTTCAAGCTCTGTCTTCTGCATTCTCCTTGTGGTGAAAAATAGAGAGAAATTTCAACCTGAAAAGGTTGAAACACAAACAAAATCATGCCAAATCAGAATGAGTTCAAAACCACCCCTCTCTTAGTTGTTTCTTTCCGGAAAAATCCAAACACAGTATTAAAGTGGAATCATATATCACATATGATCAAGCCACCCGACAACTTCCAGAAAGCCACATCGCTCGGATCTTCTTACAAAAATCATCAAGAGCTAGTATTAGCACATTAGGATTCATAACCAAATAAAACGTTGATACTTTCAGTCAGATCTCTCTGTCTGACTCTCTCTCTCTCACACACTAACACATACAAAACATGTTTTGCCCATGGTGCAAGGAAACAATGGCCACACTCAATCCAAATTCTTATACCCTGATTTCGTCACTCCATTTACAACAAACTTCTTCAGGAATCTCCCTGGGTAGGTACTTGCTCTGAGCAACCCTGCACGCTGATTTCCCTTCCTCCCCAAGTTACGGTTGCAAGATCTAGTCACACTAGCATTTCGAACCCTATATTCCCAATACGGAAATCCAAAAAACAAGCTTTTGGCACACCTCTCGGTCAAAATTCCATTAACCAACAAAGATAAATTCAACACCCAGTGAGGTCTAAGAAAATGTAATACACATCGATACACCAGAACATGAGGCAGCACCAAGTATTCCCTATCTAGATCACACATAGTACATTCAAAAAACCAACTGTTACCCACTAAACTAAACTTAATTGACATCCAATTCAAACCAATCCAATAATGATACCGAAAGACACTTGAACTTGAAGCTTTGTATAAATATTTAATGCTGACACTAACATTGGATTGTCACTAGCAGAACAGAACAAGCAATGTTACTTCAAGCCCGAGATTAAACACAAAACCACAAAAGCTAAAGATAATGGAAAAACTACCTGAATATAACATTCCGATCAAGCATGAAAACAGCAGGTCGACCGCGATCATCGCCATCTTCCACGACAACAGTTTTGCCCAGTCTCATCCTCTCCCCTGCTTCCCACATATCTCCAACCTCTCGCCACCTGCAACCACCATTCCCATTCTTCAATTCCATTACCACGGCATCTCTGTAATGCTCGTCCACCGGAAAAAGCCCTGATATTGTTCTGGACTCGCCGTACCCACCCATAACCCAGAACTCCCTCTCCTCGCCATCCCCAACAAAGAACCCCGCGCACCCAGCCCGAAAACCTGGCAACCCGTCCATTGCAACCCATTCATTTCTACCAATGTCATACCGCTCGACTGAGCTCATTCGGCTTCCAGCCGCGCTGAACAGAGTGTGCCGGGATCCGCCGCCAGCGACGAGAATCTCTCCCGAATTTGGAACTGCGGCGCAGGCGAAACTTCCACGCGGCGTGAGCATCGGAGCGAGGAAGTCCCACGAGGAAGTGCTGAAGTCAAATCGGAAGACCGCGGAGGACGGCGAGGGGCGGTCGATCGGAAACGAACGAGTGTCGAAGAGCGAGCCGCCGATGACGTAGAGATGGGGCCCAATGGAGAGGGAGGTGAAGTTGCAGAGGCCGTAGACGTGGGGGTTGCAGGGCATGGGCGGGAGGGGGCACCAGGCTAGGGTTCGGGGATCGAAGAGGTAAGGGGCGGCGACGGAGGGGTCCTGGGGGAAGATGCAGAGGAGGTGGGAAAGGTTGCTGCGGTGGTGGGTCTGGCGGAGGGCGATTAGGGTTTTGGAGGAGAGGAAGAGCCTCCATGATTTGCAGATGGGTCGGAGACGGGCCTGGTGGGAGAAGGGGATGAAGGAGAGGATCAGCGCAGCGACATCGTTTGGGAGGCCGGGAATTAGGGTTAGGGATTCGTCGATCGGAATCAATAGCGAAGAGGAAGAAGAAGGAGGAGGAGATGGAGGTGGAAATCGGGTCATTTCTTCCTCTTCGGGTTCCCAGTGGGCGTTGAGCTTTTTACCTTTTTTTTTTTTTTTGGGAGATGCAAATTTTGCAGAATGTCCAAAATGCTACAGTTGAGCAACACGTGGATTGGCGGTTGATAACTCCCTCTATTTTTACAGCTCATAGTTTAAAGTTAATTTACAGCTCATAGTTTAAAGTTAATTTTTATACAATATAATAAAATATTATGTTAAAAATATGAGTTAGCAGAGAATTGATGGAGAGTGCCACTTTTTTTTAACAAACAATATCAACTACACTAAGAGGTGAAAAAGTAAGTTAAGCCTCAAAATGAACTAGCAATAATGTGGTTCAAATTCTTCTGCAACGAATGTCAAGTTGTCTTCTAATCTTCTTTGTCAAGAGCACAAACCAACAAGAAGCACAAATGAGTCACAATCTATGAATTGTTTGAAAGCATTTAAAAATGACAGAAAGTGATTTTTGTGAAAAAAATTTTAAAGCTAAACTTTAGTAAAAATGTAAATGAATTTAAAAAAAAAAAAAAAAAAAAACTTAAAGTACTTTTAGAACCTAAAAATATATATATATTTTTTTTAAAACATTTTCTAAACGAGCTTCTAATCTCTCTAAATTGATTCGAGATTGAGCAGTAAGTTTGGACCAATACGGAATTCATTTTCCAAGCCGTTGGATCCATTATTTGGGCCCAATAAAAAACCAAGGAATTTAACAGCGGTCGTCTCTTTCTTGTGAAGAAAGAGTGAGAGTAAGGCGCGAAGGGAGTGAGAGGGAGCCACAAGAATGGCGAAAATGTGGGAAGTGCGAAGACTGCCACTTCCACAAACCAAACGACACGAACAACGCAACCCCAAACCAACGAAGGACAAAAGGAAGAAAAGCAAAGAGTAAGCTACTTCTGCAAGTTTTTTCGTTTCCACTCTAAAAATCTCTGATTTTTTACGAGAAAATGGGATCCGAATCGCTGAAATCTTGATGGGTTTTGATTCTTGTGTAGAAGGGTATCTGCGTTTCTGGGTTTCTCGTTGAGAATCAATCGTAATGGTATTTTTAATTTCGAAACTTTGTTTACATTTCCGGTTTCTATTTGTGAATTTCCCATGGACATGTAATTTGATGCTGAATGCTGCTTCTGTAGTATGTGGAAAATGGGATCATTGTAATTTTTCTGAAAAGATGATATTTTGAACTGCTCTAAACTACGGGAGGTGGATTCGAACTTGGATGCAAAGGGATATCATTGTAATTATCTTAGATTGAAATCTTAGGGGGATAAATTATGAGATCCCATTAGTTTTTTTTTGTTTCGTGGTCAGTAATCCGATGAGCTTATTACCTACTATTACCTACTGAAGGCTTAAACTGACTATTGTGGTACATATTGTGCTAGCAAAATGTGAAAAAGGAGATGAACTGATTATGTGGTTAAAAACTTTTAACTGCTGCAGGCCAATCCAGTGACCATTGTTGTTGGTTCTCATATTTGGGTTGAAAACCCAGTTTGGATTGACGGAGAAGTACTAAACATTAAGGGTGATGACGCTGAGATTCAAACTAGTGATGGGAGTAAGGTAATCTATTATTTGCTAGTTTCATTTTCAAGGATTTTGGGTGCTGAATCTTCATTGGTATTTATATGATTTTGTATGTGTTTGGTTCATTAGGCAAAGATGTAGCAGTTTGTAATGTGATTTTTTATTTTTGTATTTTTGGCTTACTAAAGGGAGAGTTAATAATTGGAATTCAAGCACGATAAGGTTTTGTATGTGTTTGTTAACCCAACTTCGGGCAGGAGTTTTCTGCATCATTCTAGTTTCTGCTTAGAAATATCAAGATGTCATTTAAGAAGAGACCGAACCTGCTGTTATATGGTTCTTCTTCTGCATGGTCTATATCATTGTGGTTTGCCCCTTTTTTCCATCCTTTTCCTTCTCCTCTTCTTTTGTAAGATTATCTATATTCTCTTGGAAGATTTCATAGGCATATCCTTTTTCTTTTTTTTTAGTTTTTTGCAGGAAAACATGCAGTTCTGATATCATTTTGGGACTGACTAAAAAATCTCATTAGAAGCTTCTGTTCTATTTTTCAGTCATTAGTTTCCTTATAAAAAGAGACTCCACGAGTTATGTGCCAAAATATCACTTAGTGCAGCTGTACTGAAAGGCCAATTTGTTATTTTGTTAAGTCGACCTACTTTGTGTTGTCCAGGTTGTTGCAAAGCTGTCAAAAATATATCCAAAGGATACAGAAACTCCTCCTGATGGAGTTGATGACATGACTAAGCTATCATACTTGCATGAACCCGGAGTGCTTCACAATTTGGCAACTAGATATGAGATAAATGAAATTTATGTAAGATTTTTCTCATCTTCTGTTTTGTGTTAATTAATGTACACCCTGGTGAAGAAAGTGATTAATCACTGCAGCTATGGGCGTCTCTGTTATAATACTTTGGCATCATGGCAGACTTACACTGGAAACATTCTCATCGCCATCAATCCTTTTCAAAGTCTCTCACATCTGTATGATGCTGATATGATGGAACGGTATAATGGAGTACCATATGGAGAACTGAGGCCTCATGTTTTTGCAATAGCCGATGCTGCATACAGGTTAACTGTGTTTCTTTTGCATCCTACTCTTTATCCCTAAATGATGATGCAGTTACTTAAGTGAATTTCCCAAATGTGATCAGGGAAATGATTAAGGAGGGAAAAGGAAACTCGATTCTGGTTAGTGGGGAAAGCGGAGCTGGTAAGACCGAAACAACTAAAATGCTTATGCGCTACCTTGCCTATTTGGGTGGTAATGCTGCAGCTGAAGGGCGGACTGTTGAACAAAAAGTTTTAGAAGTAAGCTGTGTATTTTGGTATCTAACGTTTTTAGTGAGTAGAGTGAGATCTGAAACCTTGCATAACTATCCTTTCCCATATCACTAAAGAAAATGATGTTAAGTGCCAATCCTTTATTTATTTTCTCAACTGGGTAATATTCATTTTATTGTTTCCACTTGTACCATTCTAATTTGTTTTGGTTGTAACTGACATGGTGCAGTCAAATCCAGTTCTTGAAGCATTTGGTAACGCTAAGACTGTTAGGAATAACAATTCCAGGTGAGAAATTTTTAAATGCTTTAATATTTTGTGTTGTTTCTGCTGTTAGTACTTTTGTAGGCTCCGCATGACTTTTGATAGACTTTTACGTTTTAGATTCATGGGCATTCAGTGTATATTTATGTCAAGAGTGGAGAATGATACCGGTTTGCATGTACACTCAAAAAACCAGGGTTGCAGTTTGTTTGTGATGAGATTCCTGGTGGAAAAAAATACATTGAAATTCATAAAACCCTTCTTCTTCTTCTTTATTTTTCTTTTTATTGGGTGGGGGGTGATTATTTGGCAACATGATCTATTTTGAACTGAACGACAGTGAAACTTTCGTAGTCTGTAACTAACTTTTGTTCTCTTGAAAATATTGGTGAAGCCGCTTTGGGAAATTTGTCGAGATTCAATTTGATAAATGTGGTAGAATATCAGGGGCAGCCATTAGAACATATCTCTTAGAGAGATCTCGTGTTTGCCAGATTTCGGATTCAGAGCGTAACTATCACTGTTTTTACCTCCTCTGTGCTGCTCCGCCTCAGGTAGATAGCTCAATTTTCTACTTTAGTGCATGTATATGATATTTCCAAAATTTTCCGTTCACAGAATTTAATCTGACCAGGAAATAGAGAAATATAAGTTGGGAGAACCTAAGTTATATCACTATCTTAATCAATCAAATTGCTATGAACTTGATGGCACGAGTGATCAGCACAATTATCTCTCCACTCGGAGAGCCATGGATGTTGTTGGAATAAATGCAGTAGAACAGGTATTTTCTTTTGATTTGAATCTAACATTTGTTTACTGCTAAGTTAAGCATCATTATACAGAACTGGGAATAATTCTCTCTCTCTCTCTCTCTCTCTCTCTCTCTCTCTCTCTCTCTCAGGAGGCTATTTTTAGAGTTGTAGCTGCAATTCTTCATCTTGGGAATATTGATTTTGCCAATGGGGGAGATAATGACTCATCTGTTCTGAAAAATGACGAATCCCTTTTTCATCTTCAAATGACAGCAGAACTTCTCATGTGTGTCTCGAGCTTTGCTATGGACACAATTCCTTTTTCTTTTTATTTTTTTATGTCAATCAGAGTGCAGTTTTGATCTGTCTTATTCGTATTTCAGGTGTAATCCTCGGGCTCTGGAAGATGCACTGTGTAAGCGTGTAATGGTTACTCCAGAAGAAATTATTAAAAAAAGTCTTGATCCCCATGGCGCAACAGTTAGCAGGGATGGATTGGCCAAGACTATATATTCTCGTTTGTTTGACTGGTAAGATGCTAGCTTCTGAATCATTCTCACTCAAATGATTACCGTGGAAATGAGGCATCTAACAATATTGGTTTTATCTATTTATGTATTATTTACTTTTTTATCTTCAGGTTGGTGGATAAGATCAATTTCTCAATTGGACAGGACCCTAACTCCAAATGTCTGATTGGGGTTCTTGATATATATGGTTTTGAAAGCTTCAAAACTAACAGGTAATGGTTGAATACAGAAAATGTTTCAACCAGATTATGTTCTGTGCATGTGAAAAAACAAAAACTTTCTAATCTATATTTGGTGCACATAAGAAGACCTGACACTACCTAGCATCAGGTGACTTGAACTCCTGATCTGCACTAAGGTACTTGGGAAATCGTCCATATATTGCTGAATCCAAATTCACTCAGTTATAGATAATAAAAAATTGAGGAGATGAAATTAAATTTACCTAGACTCTCACTGAGTATTTTCACTCCTAACTTATTATGTCTCGTTAATGCAGTTTTGAGCAGTTCTGTATTAATTACACTAATGAAAAGCTGCAACAACATTTCAACAAGGTATGAGGTTAGTCATACTTGAAAACTTCAGTTTTAAGTAACTTTTTTTAATATATAATCTAAGTGGTATGATTTGATTCAGCATGTATTCAAGACGCTGCAAGAGGAATACACTAAAGAGGAAATTGATTGGAG